GGCTGTGAGATCGATTGTGATATCGATAGTGCGAGCGGCAGTGGGACCAAATGTGACATTGATTGCGGGATCGATCGTGCGATCGATAGTGAGATCGATAGTCAGATCGAGTGTGAGACCGATCGAATGAAAAAGACCGAGTGGGATCAATTGTGAGATCGATCGAGTGAGATCGATCGAGCGAGACCGGTAGTGAGATCGATAGCGAGATCGCTAGTGAGATCGGTAGAGAAACCGATCGAGTGAGACGTTGTTTCCTCCGCCCCCCCGAACCTCCTTTTCACCCGAAGGGCTGTCGTATACGTAATAGTAGCACTAGGAATGACAGTAGTCAGGGTAGCAGTGGCAGCAGTGCGGGTAGTAGTAGTAGTAGTAGTAGTAGTAGTAGTAGTAGTAGTAGTAGTAGTAGTAGTAGTGTAGTAGTAGTAGTAGTAGTAGTAGTCGTAGTAGTAGTAGTAGTAGTAGTAGTAGTAGTAGTAGTAGTAGTAGTACCAGTAGAAGTAGCAGTAGTGGTAGTAGAAGTGGTAAAGGTGGTAAAGGTAGTAGTAGTAGTAGTAGTAGTAGTAGTAGTAGTAGTAGTAGTAGTAGTAGTAGTAGTAGTAGTAGTCGTAGTAGTAGTAGTAGTAGTAGTAGTAGTAGTAGAAGTCGTAGCAGTAGCAGTAATGGTAGTCGTAGTAGCAGTAGTAGCAGTCGTGACAGTAGTAGCAGTAGCAGTAGTAGTAGCAGTAGTAATAGGATTATCAGTAGTAGGTGTAGCAATAGTAATAGTGGCAGTAATAATACTAGTCGTAATAATAGTCGTAGTCGTAGCCGTAATAGTAGAAGGAGTAGTAGTAGTAGTAGTAGTAGTCGTAGTAGTAATTGTCGGCGTAGTAGTAGTATTCGTAGTAGTATTCGTAGTAGTAGTAGTAGTAGTAGTACTAGTAGTAGTAGCCGTAGTAGTAGTAGTAGTAGAAGAAGAAGTATGTAGTAGTAGTAGTCGTCGTAGTAGTAGTAGTAGTAGTCGTAGTGGTAGTAGTATGTAGTAGTATAGAGTAGTAGTAGTAGTAGTAGTAGTAGTAGTAGTAGTATTCGTAGTATGTAGTAGTATGTAGTAGTATGTAGTAGTAGTAGTAGTAGTAGTAGCAGTAGTAGTAGTAGTCGTAGTAGTAGTAATAGTAGTAGTAGTAGTAGTAGTATGTAGTAGTAGTAGTAGTAGTAGTAGTAATAGTAGTAGTAGTAGTAGTAGTAGTGGTAATAGTAATAGTAGTAGTAGTAGTAGTAGTAATAGTAGTAGTAGCAGTAGTAGTAGTAGTGGTAATAGTAGTAGTAGTAGTAGTAGTAGTAGTAGTAGTAGTGGTAGTAGTAGTAGTAGTAGTAGTAGTAGTATGTAGTATGTAGTATGTAGTGTGTAGTAGTAGTGTTAGTAGTAGTAGTAGTAGTAGTAGTAGTAGTAGTGGTGGTGGTGGTAGTAGTAGTAGTAGTAGTAGTAGTAGTAGTAGTAGGCGTCTTCGCTGTAGTAGTACGAGTAGTCGTCGCCCTAGTTGATAAACACAGATATTAAAGACCAGAAAGATCCAATACAACCCAAATAATCCCTGTGACGCTTCCAAGAAACAAAACAACGCTCTCAGAAGTTAATCGGCTTGGTGGTGGGCCGCCAGCTGTGGGCCGCCAGCTTTTGTGTTGTAGCCTTTTTGGGGACCCTCACGAGGATTGATTAGATTTTTCGCGACTTTAAAACATGTTTCAATTGTTTTTCTCTGGTCTTGAATTTCGGCTGGCGGCCTGAGAAAGCTCCTGAAGCGGAAGAGGAGACGGAAGAGGCGCACAGCTGCGCTACAGCAAGATAGCCACTCGTGTGTTTGTGACTTTCGGGGGTTTGCCTGCCGTCGTGGCTGAACGCGGTTCGAAAGTGTCTTGTGATGTGGGACGGTGCGTGGCCCGTCTCACTGATCAAAGCACGCCTGGTCAACGTGTTGCCGCTTTGTTGCGTCACGTCAACCAATGCTTTTCCCAAGGCCATGGGAAAGGCTGACGAACGGGGGGGGGATTGGCTGGGGCCCCGCACTCGTGCCGCAAATTCCATGGAATTTGCAGCAGGAAGCTCCCGCAACTTTTCAAAAATGGGCTGCTAGGGGCCATGGGCGGCCTGCCCAAGTCACGCGGAGTTGGGGAAACAAACACACACACACACAGACCCACCCGCGCACGCACGCACGCACGCACGCACGCACGACGCGCGCGCGCACGACGCGCGCGCACGCGCACGCACACGCGCACGCACACGCGCACGCGCACGCGCACGCGCACGCGCACCTGCACGCGCACGCGCACGCGCACGCACGCGCACGCACGCGCACACACACACATTCACATTCGCATTCGCACACGTACACGCACACGCACACGCACACGCACACGCACACGCACACGCACACGCACACGCACACGCGCACGCGCACGCGAACGCGCACGCGCACGCACACGCACACGCACACGCACACGCGCAAATGGCTGGATTCACACGTGGAATATCCAGCGGCGACACGCTGGATACATATGCGTATATAGGCCTGGCGTACCTGGCCTTAGAAAGACCGAGCGCTGGAAACCTCTCTGGCCACACATGCATCCAACTCTCGCTCTGGGGCTGGCCGGGTCATGTGTATCCAGCTTCAGGGAGAAGAAAGGGAGTGAGTGGGGAAGAAGAGGGAAGAGGAAGAGGAGGAGGATGAGGGAGAACGAGGCTTCGAATCTACTGGGGACTGGGAAGTTTTAGGGCTGCCTCGCGGAGTCTGGGGGGTCAAGGGGCTCGAGAGGAATGGACAGGGCGGGAGATACCAAGGACAGAGGAAGGAGAGGCGTGCTGATCTCGGTTCGCTTGATAGTTGACTGCCGCAGACGTTTTTTGACGACTTAGGATGGTCACCAAAAAATGTCGAAACGCTTCTTTAGGCAGTGTAGGGGGCTAGGAGGTAGGAGCAGGGCTCGGTGACTTCGTTCCCTCTGGCAGCGAAGCTCCCCTGACGCCAGACTCATTATTCCATCCACCATGTTGGCGCAATTCCAATTCGCACCATGCGCGCGGTGCACCTCGGAGTGATTGATGCCAGGACCATTGAAGGAGGATGCACGGAGCACGGAGCACCACATACGATGGACGACCATTTCTGTGGGCTTGAGAGACGTGAGGGGAACGAGAATCATAGGGGGACAGAGGCTAGCGAAAACAGATGGGGAGGAGGAGGAGGAGGAGGAGGAGGAAGATAACAACTACCACTGGACGTCTGAGCCGTTCACAGCAATCACTGGGCCAGCTCGGTAATTGCAGGAACGATCCACTCCTTTCTGTGGATCGCAAGCAGGCCCAGGACGATCAGCCCTGTCGGGGGTCAGTAATCATCACACAGCCTCGTCTCTATCAAGGGGGGTCCTGACCAAAGCTGTGCCCGATCATCTGCCCGAGTGTGACCAAAACCAGCGCCCGAATGTGCCCGAAGGCGCCAAACAGTGTGACCGAAATTCTTGGTTCGAAACTTCAGCGATTTCTAATTTTGGTCACAATCTCGGTCACACGAATTTGTTGGTCACAATTCCTGGCACGCTTTCGGTCACCGATTGTTTCGGTCACATACCTTTTCGGCGATGAGGGAAAGGGCGCCATGGCAATCAGATGATCAACAGGAGGGCAATGCTGGACCTCCTTCTCGTCATGCTCTTGCTGCTGCTCATCTGTACTTCAGGCAGGGGAACTCGACCAAACCCCCCATACAAACACACGCACAGACGAACAAAATCGCGGAGACTTGAAGTCCACCATATGTGCCAAACACGAGCAAGCCATGTTTGAACAAGTCAGAGACGGCCGTCTGCAAACAACCCTGCTCGCCGGCACTGACATATCTTGGGAACTCAGTATGTACGTCCGCTGGCTGCCGCCAGCCAGTCCCCACTGGCAAAGTCGCACCATCCCACTTCCGCCAGCTTCCGCGGGCCGTTCGAGCAGGGCGAGATTCGAATTTCTCGGCTTCCCAGAGACAAAGCACTCTGTTGATCTCCCTGTGCATCCACAGACCTGCGTCTCCGTTCGAGTAGATCTTCACCTCGTAGGTGTCCTCGTCGCTTCCAGGCCTCACCTCGGCCAGCGTCGTGCCGCCGGGGTCGCGGACCTTGAAATCGTGCGCGTGGAGGTCGCGTACGTCAAGGTCGTGACCGCCAGACTCGTGCACGTAGAGGTCGTGCGCCTCGTGCCGAGTGGCCAGCGCTTGCTTAACAAGAGCATGGGCTGATTGCTCGCGGCGACTGTTGCATCTGTTTTGAGAAATCAGCGTCCCCCTCTTGGTGTGGGACCAGAGGACCCAAGAACCGACCAGGCAGACCATCTGGCCTCCCGAAGCCGAAAATAGTCCCAAACCAAATGCTCCTCATCGATTTAGGAATCGCTGCTTCGCATCGTGACGAATTGTGATTTGGTTTCCAACACCGCAAGGATCTTTTTGCCTTCAACGATCGCGGCTTTCCGACAGTGTCGATCGATCGATATCGCCCGAGTCTGGGAGCTGGCCCAGGAAGGGAAGCGCACTCAACGGCGAAACCGCATATTCCTGGGCGGGGTGGGCAATCGGGCACCAATCGGCGATGACGGGCGATAGTGCGGGTGACGCGTTCCCCCCAGAGCCTGCCTAGCCAGCCTCGAGTTTAACAGTATCCCTAAGACTGACAAGCCAAAAAGCCAGCCAAACAGCGAGGACAATTTCAAGGATGCGACATAAGTCTGGGGACGCGGCACTTGCTCGCAATTGCAGGCCCATCACGGTCAAACCATGTTTGTACAAGCTTTTTGCCGAATTGCTGCATGCTCGATTGTTTCCTGTTCTGGACGCGCGCCAAGTAATTGATCAAGCAGGCTTCCATCCAAGTGCGGGTACGACGCACCACTTGTTCGCGGTCACAATGTTGCGAGAGAAGGGCCATGAATGGCAACAGTGTGTATGAAAATCTGCTACGGTGATGGCATTTGTTTATCCTATCACCCTGGGGCTTATCATGCACAGACAAATTCAGATGCCGTCTTACGGCCCCGCAAACAGTGCTTGCGCGAGCCCGCAGCCCGCCAGGACCAGACCCCGAAGCGCGGCAACCATCACTCCGCGCTCTGGCCGACATCAGGCCTGGGGTCCACCATCCTGGCCGCTCTGGCGGCCCTGCCTCGCTCCTGAGCCTCAGCAGCGCTGGCAACGCCGAAGGAGCCCAGGGCTCCCTCAAGCCCTGGGCGAAACAGCCTCACTGGGGCAGGCGGGGCGGGTGCCCGTTCCCGCACCTCTGGGGGCTCCACTGCGGGGGCTCTGGGGTCGACAGGGGCCACCGGGTCCTCCCTGTCCTCAGGGCCCGCGACCGTGCCGAGCGCCTCGGCCCACCTGGCACGGGTGGCCGCTGTGGGCCGAGCCAGCTGGTCGATCGGCTGCTTGGATTTCCCAGGCAAAAGTGATTTCGCGAAATCGTTACGCGCCTGCGCCCTGGAGCCCTTTTTGGCCCTGGGGTCGCCAGCGCGCTGGGCCCCGCTACAGGCCTTGGCTAGGCCTCGGTGGCAGTACTGGGGCTTCAAGCAATACATCCAGCACGCCACACAAACCAGAAACACAAGGCCATCACTGCCAGAAACGCGGGGTTCCCGAAGCCGGTGGCCGTTGACCTCCCATGCCCCCGACTCGCCTGGGTCGGGGGTCACAAAAAGAGGCCCCGGGGCCCCCACCTGGCCAGCAGGGCCCGATGGGGGCTCTCAGAGGCGGGTCGGCAGCCACAGCGGCAGGGGAGGCCCCAGAGGAAGGAGGGGGAGGGGGCTTCGACACAGCCGACGGGGGCGGGCTCTGTGCGCCTGCGGCCGAGGGCGCTGCCCGCTGCGCCTTCTCTGCGCGGCGGCGCTGGACAGCGCGGAGCAAGGCCGCCGACGCGCTCGACGCGTCCGCGGCTGGATCACTGGATCCGACGGGCCCGTCGCCTGCCTCCTTCCTCATGCGGACCTTCGCGTCGTCCTTCCCCTGGGCCTGTGCTCCCTGGCTGGCCGCCGCTGCCGCCGCCAGCGCAGCGGCCGCCCCCAAGGCCTCCAAGCCGCCAGGGCCGCGGGCAGCCGACTCCTCGGCCTCCAGCAGCTGCTCCAGGGCGGGCGTCGAGGCGAAGGGGTCCAGGTCCACGAGGTCCAGAGAGGTGAGCGGCCAGGCGTCCCTGAGCCCCGACTCGGTGATGTGCACCTCGAGGGCCGCCGCGCACCTGGCCACCTCCTTCGCCCGAGCTAGGCAGCCCTCCAGCATCAGGGCGTCCTGCTCAGCGATGGCGCGGAAAGCCGCTCCTTCCTTTGCCCTGGTGTCGGCGCGCCTGTTGCCCAAGAGCTCGAAGAGGGTGAGCTCCCCGTCAAGCACCGCGGCTTCGGTGCGGTGGGCGGGCACGTGGCGCATGGTTACGCCCTCCGATGCATCACCCACCCTGGCCCACACGTGGGCGTGCAGGGAGCTGGGGCCGCAGGCCTTGGCCAGGTTGGAAGCCGCCTTCACCGTGCTCAAGCAGTCGCTGAGCAGCGTGTAGTTCCCGATGATGTCGGCGAGGCCGATGGCGGCGGCGAAGTCCTCTCCTGCCTTGGCCGTCTGCGACGGGAGGTCGCTGGGGGGCACGGCTCCCCACGCCTCGGCGAGGGGCCTCCCCTCGGGCCCGTGAACGATGACGGCCCAGCCCGCGCTCCTGACGTGCGGGAAGTAACCATTCAGGCACGAGCCGTCTGTGAAGACGAAGGACCCGTCTGGCACCACCAAGATGCCGTCCCCCCACCCGCAGGATCTCCGCGCCCAGCTGTCATCCCAGACTGGCCTGGCAACGAGGAGGCTGATGTCGGCGAAGAGCCCCTGACTGAAGAGCTCGTCGAAGGGAGGCCCCATGCGGTGGGCCTGCTCCGCTGCCTGCTTCACCTGGTACGGGCAGTAGTCCCGCCTCCAGGCCGCCCATGCTGGACACACGTGGTGCCTGTGGTGCATCGTCCCAGGGGCGGCGCCGCAGAGCCTGCACAGCGGGTCGATCTCTCGCCCATGCCTTGCCAGTCGGGCCTGGGGCCAGCTGGCCAGCGATGCCAGGCGTCTCAAACAGCCTTTGTGGTGAGCCGTCCATGTTTCCGACTCCTTGGCGCCGAGGAGCTGGTTGATCGGCGTCCACCACGGCGGCAGTCGCCACTGCCAGAAGGTCTCGGGCCTGCTGGCGTACTCCTCGAGCGACGCCGCCTGACGCGTGTCCTCCTTGACCCTGGCGGCGAGGAAGGCGGGCGAGAACCTCGCGACGTCAAACTCGCTGCCCGCCCTGTCGGTCAGGACTCGTCCGCCAGCGCTGAGGCCCCAGCCGACCCGCCCCAGCGTGAGCACCAGCGCCGAGTCGGGGTCGCGCACCGCGGCCCACGGCCTCTGCAGCGAGGCCAGTCGTCTGCTGTCCCTGAGGCAGGCCTGCACCGCGGCAGGGGAGGCCTGGCCAGACCAGCTCATGGACACGAACGCCTGGACTGCCAGGCCCGTCGCAATCACCAGCGGATCCTGCCTCCAGCCCTGGGGCGCGCACTGCAAGCAGAAGGCCAGCGCCGCGCCCGTCGGCAGGTTGCAGGCGGCTTTCGCCGCCGATACCCTGAGCGCCCTCATGCGCCCTGGCGGGACTCCGTTGATGGCCGAGCCCCACAGGGTCTTGGCGGTGGGGCCTGCCCTCTGGATCTTGGCCTGCCTCATCCCCGCGCCGAAGATCCTGGTGAGGTTGTTGCCCTGCCGCAGCGCCGCCAGCTCCCTGGCCACCTGCGTCTCGACCCTGCGGTGGCCGCCCGCCGTCGCATCGCCTCCAAGGTCGCGGTGGCCAGTGACGAAGGCTTCGTCGGCGAGGACCCAATCGGCGTGCTGCTGCAGTGCTCTCTTCAGACTCACCGAGGAGGCCAGTGCCTTGGTCTTTCCCCAGTTGATGGGGAGACGCTTGTCTCCCAGCATGGTGGCAACGCCCTTCGCGAACCTGGCGATCTGCTCGACGACCAGCCTGCGCGTGCCGATGCCGTGGCCCGAGATGTCGTCGATCACGTTGACCACCCTACCGATCGGCAGCATCTTCCTCGACTTCAGCAGGAGGTCGTACAGCATGATCCTCGCCATCGTTGTCGCGCAGGAACATCCAGCGATGACGGTGTCGTCGATGACCAGCTGCTCGCTGAGGGCTAGGTCGGCCCTGGCCCAGCGGGGGCCCGAGTACAGCACGCACAGCGCCTGGATCAACCCCGTGTTGAAGTCGCAGCCCCTCGCCGCGTCGAGGAGCAGCCCGTGGCTGATCTGCTCGTAGAACTTGCTGGTGTCGAAGTAGACCGACGCAGCCTCGAAGTTCTTCTCGCGCGCCAGGCCGAGCAGTAGGTTGTGAATGTAGGCCGCCCTGTCGCAGCTGGTGTCAGAGTCTGCCCCCCAAAACTCGGGGAGCTTGTGGTCCCGCCCCCAGCCCGCGCAATATTTGCGCATGATGCGGCACCAAATGCGAAGCCACATGCAGAGGGGCCCGATCGGGCGGCGGCCCCCGTCGGGCTTCCCCAAGAAGACGATGATCGTGGTGAACAGCTCCGACGGCTTGGGGTACCGTTCCCAGGCTGTCAAGATCGCTGCCAGCCTGGCCGCGCACTCCCTGCCTAAGCTGAGGATGAGCCTGGGGTGGAGGGCGTCCCATCCCAGCGCCGTTTTCCTGGGAAAGGTCCTCGCTGCTGCCAACGCATCCTCCGCCGTAATGTCGTCCAGACCCAAGGGCTCGTCCCAGTTCTCGGGGCGGACGCTGGCGGAGCCCTCCTTGTGCCAGAGCGCCTTCCACTCCTCGAGGATCCTGTCCAAAGCCTGCTGCCCGACCAGCGGGACTGGAGGGCCCCCCCCCCTCGCCAGGGCCGAGGATGGAGCAGGTCTCGAGGTTGGCCTGCTTGCTGATCGCGTGGGCGCCCTTGCCGTTCCCGCTGAGGGCCTCGGTCATGAAGTCCTTCCAGCGCTGCCTGGCTAGCTTCGCGCCCTCCCTGCGCTTGACCTCCGAGGCGGCGCCGATTGCCTGGGGGAAGATGCTGCCCAGCTGCGACCTGTCCGAGATCTCCGCCAGCATCGCCGCCATCTTGGTGCCGCCGAACATCTCGCAGCCCTCTGCCTCGAACTTGGGGACCAAGTCTAGGGCGGCCGCCTGCAAACGCTTGGCGTGCGTGTGGTGCCTAGGCGAGGGG